AGAAGTTGCATGTGATGAGTGGGGGGCGGCGAAGGAGAAAATTTGCCGTTTCAGCGCGCGTATATACCCCCAAGTAGTGGGAGTATAGGTAAAAAATGGATTGAAATGGTGGAAATAGAAGGAAATTTTGTGAGATATTTACCGTTTCAGACTACCGCTGGAAAGGTAAATACTGTGATTTCGCTTCTCCCATGCATTTTGTGTACAAATTGGCCAGAAAACAGGAATACGACCCCCTTTCCCTTCTACTACAACATGACCCTTTAAACTCCACCACCAGAGCTTTCCCTGAAAATCTCCAATGCGACCCTTGCTTCCCACTAACCACAACAAATACCCAAAACTAAGAACAACCACCTTGTCCAAAAATCTCGAATACGACCCCTCCTGCCTACGCTGATCTTGTCACAACGGAAAGATGATCCTGGTTACGAGTAAACCATGAGTAATTAATTTCGAAGAGCGAAGAATTAAAAGCGAACTCCAAAATATGGTCTGAACTTTCATGAATTGACTTCACAGCTTCACAATGTGAAAAACATTCCTCATAAATGGATCAAGTACTAATCTCATTTTTTGAATTCTACCTTCAATCTCAAAAGGACAGGAGAAAACGATGAACAAGCCTTCGAAGAAGATTCAAGCTGTGGTCATAAGAAGCGTCCAACTCAAGGATTAAGTGTGCGCCTGTCATAGAAAGAACACGAGAGGGGAATCCCCTCCTTCTCCTACGCACTCTCTCCTCTCATTCCAAACGAACACATTAACTGGCGACAAAGTGAAACAAGATCTCGATCTCATCTAACGAGACTGCTTTCGAAGGATTTGACATCCATAAGTGTAATCATAACAAAAAATATTGGTTTACAAAGGCTTATCATTAACATGGTAACCTCCCACTACATATAGCAACATACACTTCAAAAACAGCTTCTAATTTTGCAGAGCAGAATGGAAAATGAAAGTCCCGCGATTATCCCACGCTAACATTCGTGTTCATTATGAGGGCAAAATCCGTGCTATATTAGACATACTACCTATAAAGCGGTAACTATTCCGATACGCATCGGATATACAACAATATAAAGTCGGCAGTAGGTTGCGTACCTAACTTCAATTTTCTTCTTAAAATTCATCCGATTTGTTTAACAATTGATGACAGCATGACGCGCATGCGCGTCAGATGCATTTTTGCTTGGTTTGCTTTGTATTTTTCAAGTTGGAAGAATGTTCGTCCACATCCATGGCTCCAGAACTTATTATTTATTATTTTTATTATTGTGGGCATATATCCATTTACAGTAACGAAGCTATTGGAAGAGTAGTTTTGATTTTGGAAAAAAAATCAGAGAAAGATGCCATGGAACAGGCACAATTGGCTGTCGTCAACGTTTTAAGTTTTACAGCCATTATAGTTTTGTTGTTTTGATTTATATTTCTGCTATCGTTACATATAGCATAGAGCACCTATGCGTATATGACAATAAATAAGTGAGCGAATAAATAAATATGTAAACAAATAAACAAATAACTATGGTTGCTAGCACAAACCTCAATAGAAGATGTCCAGTAATTCGATACTTTCTATCTTGTTTTTATTTAAAGTTAACATCTGTATTCATCCCCAATTGTCTTTTAGGGAAGGAATGAAAGTTCACGTTTTTAAAGTTCCATTTTGTGAAGCGACAAATATCCTGCCTCTACAAGTCACTGAAAGAAATAACAAAGTAATTGTGCGGGTAGTTTCATTCAATCGATTCGCTTCCTATGGCAAAAGAAGGATGCGTGGCGCATCTAAGCCTATTGCAAACTGTCCCATTTTTCTTTCTTCCCTTCCATCAATAGGTAATCTACCAGCCTAAGCCACAATACTAAGATTGCTTCCAAGTGCAAAACGAAAAATGAAATTTTAACCATGAAAAGTTACCAAAAAACACCAAATATCATTCCTTTGTGTGGCCCCTTGATGCACGTAATGCAGCAAGTGGTCCTTAATGTAATTGGAGGACCAACTGATGTCGTTCAGTAAACACCCAGAAATTTCGCCATACTTGGTTTCTGTTATGTTCGCAAATCTTTGCCAATGCTGAAGGATTGCTTACTCTTGAAGCAGTGAAAGACTGTGCATGGAGAAGAGGGATCAAGCCAGAGAGTACAAGGAATGAGGAGGCGTCAGACACCAGGACGCTGCGGCCGAGAAAAATAGAAGCGGTCAAAGCGAACTTTGCAAGGTTCTGATGTCTTTGCTGCGCACTTTAAAGCCGAGCTAATGTAGCATCTGCGACCTTCGCGATCAGCTCTATTCTTTCAACGGAAGATCCATCAACCTGAACTAATGGGGTTGTGCCTTTAAGGCCTAGATAAGAGACAACGGGCTTACGAAAGAATGTGACACACTTAGGTTACATTGAATCTCGCTGTATGGAAACTGAAATAGTGTTGCCGCTCTTTCTGTGAGTTAGCTAGGTGACCGAAAACCGCAGTCGCCCTTACGTGAACGTAGAGCTTTATCACAGCGTTTCTTTCGTGAGACAATAAGAAGCGATGCTGTGCAATTCATCTACAACATCTTAAAACCATTAGTTCCTATTGATTTCCTGAAAAACAGTTGAGTTCATGTGAATAACCTTTGTGAAAGGCAGCCAGTTCAAAACGTATGCGCTATAATCTTCTTGAAGCTTATCACAAATCCGCTCATCAACGCGAACGATTCAATATCATGGGAAGCCAGTATTAGCCGATATCAATGCACTCACCGAGAGGGTTCCGTAGGAAATCAGGCAGCTGACGTTTACGAACGACAAGCGACCTCGACAATGGAGGACTACCTGAACCAGTAATTAATAGTTACCTCCTGACCTCTTAGATTAACATCACTTTAAAAAGCCTCACCTTTATTTCGTTTCCGTTCGCCGCCTTTGCTTTCCTTCGGTGGCAGCTCGATGTTCAGCTGTTTGTCGACCTAGAACTCCCATCCTCATAAATCATTCTTTACACATACGCACACACGCAATCCCTACGGTAGCCAATCAGGCCCTGATTGGTTGAATAATCCATTCGAAAGCATTCAGTGAAAACCGAGGCTATTTGCAAGGAATTAAAGATTTAAGGGCGCTAATGGACTTAGGAGGGGGCGTCGCTTTGTCGACTTAGAGAACTGCTTACACACCTTTCTCCCCTAACACGTTGACAACAGTGTGGTATGATGTCATACCACACATTCATATGGACCAAACTAGTTTTCCCTAATTTATTTAGCGTTTTTTTCCAATTCCACAAAGGACCATGTACATTATTGGATCTGAAAAACAATGTTTCCATCACTGATAACGAAAACGCTGAAGGTACAAGCCTATTGATGAGAGAATACGAAAAATGTTGAAGCGGTACGCGCACAACGGCGGTCGTCAACGTGCTAATATCCCCTAAGTAAACGTGGGTCGTATTCGAGTACCGGAACCTTGTCCCAAAACATACAATACCCATGAAACCAAAATTCTATGGTTCTTTCAGCAGGCTTGTTCTGTTCTGGCTAGCTCTTAACTTTGTTTACTTGTTTTCCTGTTTTTGAGCTCAGTTTTTGGAGCTTTTTGGTTCAATATATCTCAGTATATCAAGAAATATTCAGAAAAATAACTGTACCGTCGGATCCGGGACTGGAATGTCGCCTTCCTTCTTCTCACCACCTTCGAAATGTGCGGAGCAGATTCGTAGCTGCAACATTTATATGAAACATTCCGACGTTTCTGGGGCTCCACAGTCACTTTTCAAGGGGTGCGGGACTTTTGGCCCGTCCGGCCTGTCACGCGGCGAGTTCCGCGGCGGCACGCGCGGAGATATGGACGGGACAAGGCTTCGCGGTTTCTTCGGGTAGGATTCAACACGTCAATGCGTGTGCAGAGTGCGGATAAACTCCACATGATTCTGCTGTTTGAAAATCTTTCCGCTTGCGAGGGTTGGAAGCAGCAGTATCAGTGAGGAGAATCCAGCGCAAGGAGTTGAGTGCAGCACATTCATTGTAAATGTTACTACTTCATCAAAGCAAATAAGAGTGCGACTAAATTGGGAGTTCTGATGAGTTTTTATTCACACGTCAACATCAGATTATGTTTGTGCCCTGAACGAGCGCGGCGCCGTCCAAAAGAGAAAATTTGAAAATAAAACAACAAAACAGCGGTCGACGGCTAAGTTCACTAGGCTGCCAACCCGAGCACAGGAGAGGAACGCCAGGAGAACAAAATTTACTTCCCCAGAATCCCTTCTCCTCCCTAAGTCTCTCGTACCAAACACATGTGATTGGCTCCAGCTCACCTCCCCCCTTGAACGCCCCCCCCCCAAATAACATGAGCCGCCCTAGATTACCGTAACAGCACTACGCTAGCTCCTCTGTATCTCTTTCTACTTTACAACACCGCTGTCCTCAAAATTCTAGCCGTTCAGATTTCGTGTATTTCGTATTGCAGAACCTTGCGGATTTCATCTGCAATCTCTACACGTTGACGTGTTGAATTCGCCGCGCCGCTCGCCGCGCAATTTGCCGCGTGCTAACTCGGACGAGCCAAAAGTCCGTCGCCCCTTTTCAAGCTCCTCTTGAAGAGATATTTGTGGATTTTACTAATTACACATATCATTAAGGGTGTGCAGTGATGCGCTATGTCTACCGGCTGGCGGCTCCAGTCAGCTACACTGTTGCCCCCTGGGTGGTGCGGCTGCCTGGCAACCTGCCCACCATCGCAATTTATTCCACAAATAGATAAACGGATACTCATTAGAATCTGTATGGCAGCGACTCCGATTAGGATAATAGCGGCTGAAACAGCTTCCGTATGAAGGGATATGAACTTGAAGAGAGCGCTTCAGATAATGGACAATTTAGCTTGAAGGATTCAGTCAAACCTTGATAACGTACTTTGTATGGCAACATTTTTCTTAAGAACATAGGTGTTTTATGCAGCTAAAGAACAAAACTTTCCGGAAAAGCTAACAGTAAGCAAAGCGGCTTATAAAACTCATGCTCTCTAGTAAGCCCTCAAAAAAATAACTCCAGCAAATTTTGAAACAGAAAAATCCACGAGTAATTTTAACAGATCTGGTACAAAAGCGACTAAGGAAGCATATATCTAGGTAAGCCCATACAATCACAAAAAGCTTTAATAACGACTGTAGCGTTTCTAATTTCCGGCGATTTCACCGGTGTTGAAGAGAATGAAGCTCGTGTGGTTGTTCTCTACCTGACTGACGACTGTCTCCTCGGTACGTCCAATGGCCAGCAGCCAACGTTGGCGAAGTACTTGTGGTCGCTTTGGTATACGATAGAAATGACGATTATCTTCTTGTCCACGATAACGAGATCGAAATTTGCAATTCGGGAAGCCGCACGTGGTCGGCATGTCCCACGGGTTCAACAACAGCTAACAAGCGCACACCATACAAGCCACCGCGTGTACTTCAGCAACAAAACAAAGCAGCTAGCATAGCATCCACACGATATAAGCTATATCCATGAAAGTAAAGCAGTTATACTAGTACAAAAGCAACGAAATACTAAGCGAATAGCTGCGACGATAAGGCGATACGAGAACGAACGAAAGATATAGACTGTTAGGAGACAATTAAAAAGCCACAGAATTTTTACGATTTTCTGAATTCCAAGAAGTCGAAAACTGAAAGATCAACCAAGAAGAAGGTCATGAGGGAGAAACTATCAATTTTAGCTCACCAACATTAACACATTGCGTACCGCGTGCGCCACCATGTGGTGCACGTTTTCAAACGAAAGATCATAGTATTATCCGGTTTATTTAGCATTTTTCAGTGCTCCTGAAGTGTTTGCACTCATATTCAGAGCCAGGAAACAATAAGTATAATCTCTGATAAAAGTGTTGCTAAATTAATGAGATTCGTTTTCTAGAAACATAGAAAAAGGTATTGGGGTCCTGGTATAAAGGCGATCCGCACTGTGTTAAGAACCTGTTTCTACGTCCCTACTAGTAAGACTGACTTCGATCCGAAATGGTAGCAATACAGTATAAGACTAACTTAAGCACTGCTAAGAGCTGTAGCCACCAGTTTCATTTCAATTCAAGAGTGTCTACCAATGAGTAATTAATCAATAGTGCCAATTATCAGTTTCCCACTATGCGAAAAACCCATTCAGTGGCACTGGCAACACTACTGCACTTTTTTCTTGATTCATAGCCAACGGCGTGAATTTCATCTATCTACGCTTGCGGTACTTTACTGATATCTAAATTGTTTCTCTTTATGGCAAAAAAGCGTGAAGGTAGTGAACAGATATTGGTGTTTGCTAAGTCCTTTAACGCAACAATCCCGGACGAATTCGCGGTGGCCGCCACCTATACTGCGTTGGCAGGCGAAAGTTGGTCAATGAGCTAGAAAAAGTAAGAAAACGTCGGGCAGGGACTTAGACGAGACTCCTCCGGCCGTTTATGGGATTGTGTTGGACGAGTTGTCCGACCTGCCCGTAGTACATGCGCTTCGTTTTGATCTGCGCCAAATAGCATGCATGCTTGCACTACATCAATAACTATCTTGCCAGCAATCGCAAATTGAAGGCGCTTCGAATTGGGTTTCTTTATGATCGACTCATACCAAAGGCGCGCGTCCGAACGAGCCGCTAGTCCGAACAAGCGCTCCCTGCGACAGCGAATTTGGGCGAGTCCGCATCTTTATGGTGATCCGCCCCTTCCAAGAGGACTTTTCTGACCCCTTCCAGCGCATTTTAGAGGTAGGTTTTGAATTCATAGACATTTCTATAAACTTTAAGTTGGGCTGCGGGATGTTTTTGACCCCTAATGACCAAGTAGTTGAAAGCCTGCTGTACTGTTGCTTTAAGGCACAGGTCGCAATTAGATACTTGGAGAAATGCTCTCTTTGGGCGAGGGTGGCAGATTCCTAATCACAGTAGTAGTGGTACTTTCAGGTGGTTAGTGAGCCATACGGAGTCTATGCCATTGCTTGACCGCTTCGATAGCTGAGATTCTTACCAACCGCGGCACATGTAACATTTGCGCCCTCTCGCTACGACGTGCTCTCTCGTGTTTCCCCTCACATCGCCGCGTCTCTCGTCATACCACAACCAATCACATTAGTGGAATAAGTGTTTTCCTTAGTGCTTTTTGCTTTTTCTCACCTTTAGCGTTCCTCCCTACACTTCTCCTCGAACCGAAGAAAAATACACAAATTCTGCCGAGTCGAGTCTTTAGTGATGCGCTATTCATCTAACACTACACTCTACCTCTACTACAGCTTTCCTACCCTCTACCTCCATGTCTTATAAGAATTGAAATGGCTCTTACAAGGGTCATGGTGAAAAAAAAACTAAGATATGTTGACTTCCTCCATCTGCAAAGAGGGAGTCTATGAGCAGTGTGAGTTCCACAGAAACGGAACAATTCAAAAAGGTATAGATTTAAGGCATCGGAATTATGAAAGTATCGTTTTGTAGACTTAGGGCATTTACGAAGGAAGTAGGAGAAGACAATAACACGTGAGCAGCTCCGCTCCGAGCCGTGAAAGTTAATGTAGCCATTCGAGGAAGGATGAAGGGTGGGTGCAGGGTCGTATTAGTGAGGTATTATCCCACAAGGCACGCTTGGCCTAGTCAATGAAAAAGAGTTTCTGCTCATGAGGGTAAAAGAGGATTTGTTCCTCGTCAATCCCTCTGTCACCTTCTGAGCTAAACGCCTGCACTTAAAGGCAGTGATCACAGTGACTAGTGGGCGTTGCACTTCGATGACGTCATTGAAAATCATTGGTGGCTTAGACCACTCAGCGCGCTGCCGTGCAGTTAGAACCGCCTCTTAACGTCATTCCACCAATGGTTTGCAATGACGTCATCATAATCGCACCGCCCTCCAGCCAGTTTACCCGTCAAATGTGTTCTTTGAGAAATAGACTACACCCTGCGGGTTAAACAACCTTAGCGCATCAGGTCCCACTCTATCAACTTTTCCAATCGGTTTTGGAAAAGGGCCGAGTGGAGAACGGAAAAGTGTTTTTTTTAACTTGTTCACCTTGTACTCCCACCTCACAAGTCCTACCGGAGAGGCTGTCCAAATTCTGACCTAAGCTCATAATTATTTTTCCTCTAGAAAGTTCCCACTAAAGATAAAAAGGATGCTTCTAACAGCATCGCACTCATCAGAACGGATTCCAGCTACAAAGATGTCGTATTGGAGAAAGAATAAGAAGTGCAAAAAACGTCGAGGGAGACATCCCTCCTAAACATTTGAGCATAGGCCCTTTCAAGATAATGTCACTTTCCAACTTTTGCCCTTTAGCAGTATTTTATTCCAGATAGTTCTTGAGTTTAAATATAGCGCTATTCGTGCTGCCTTCAGCAGCAAATATTCTCTTCTAAATATCAAAATAAAAAGGGTAATAAATTGATTAATCACCACTTTCCAAGAGAACTAAGATTTTTACAAAAGCAATCTTCGGTTTTGACAGAGATCAAAACTAAAGGAAGAACTATGTGATTCTTTCAGTAACTTATTACCACTTTATAATTTTACGATATTTATTCAATGAATATACTATAAATATTAACTGACTCCGCGACATAAGCTCCAAGTACGGTCCCCATCACACCTCTTTCTATGAACTGAGACCTGCTCAGATTCACTGAATTTTGCATTGAACCAAGATCGCGCAATTACCCTTAAACAAGTAACTAATTTGACCCGTTACTGCCCGGTCCCATAGGTCAGGTATGCTGCCACTACACCTTAAAATGTTACAACGATTCTGGATAAAAGTCATTATGTGGCACATCCCAAAGAGACTAATTAACGGCGTGATGTTCTCACTTCACTTTCATGGAACAAATCTATGTGCGCTTTTATCAACTTCTCGCGATGCTCTTTGGAAAAAGCTTTTTTTTTAAATTTCGCTAACTTTTTTGATAGCAAAGTCTAAGGTCTAAAATATGCTGACAAAGTGGCTTGGTTCTTATGTGCCGTCACTTGTACAAAGGTCATTGAAGTGTACGATTTAAAAATAGCACATAAACACCACAAAGGTTTATAATAAACTATTCTAGCGCCTTTCTAATATTTCACAAAGGGACCCTGATACTGTTGGTTGAAAGCGCTTGAAATATCGGAGGTCGCCTTCCTTCGCGCGACTTTTTGTGCACTCTTTCCGTTTGAAGTACGCCATTTTTACACTTCTTTGTAGTATTTTAAAAACTTTCTGGTAATATGGCATTTTTTTTGTGCTCTGTAGATAATTCCGACTCTGTATTTATCACAAAGTAATTGTGCAACGTGCGCAGTCACCAAACAGGGAATTCCGCGTTCATTTGTAAACGGAAATTGTCGTTTCAAGCTGTCTGGAGCATTCTTTCGGGAAGAAGCTGAAGACAGTCTTGACCGAGAGTAGGATCTGTTTGCCGACGATCTGCCAGCGCCCGTAGGACTCGCTCTGTCATCTAATAAAAGAAATTTATAAATTTGGGTATGTCAAAATTCGGAAAATTTGGCTAAAAGGCGGCCCCAGGGGTTATACGGAGAAGGCACTTAAGGTCGGTTGAACTTCGTCACTCTACATCACGTCACTCCTTACATCCCTTGATCAACATCCCACACCCCTATACAGCCCCAGGCCTTTCGCCCATACTCGCAGCCATGCATGGAACTATTCCCGACTTCAACCAGAATTTCCACGAATGAGTGGGGTGGTGAGTGATGAGGAGCGCACAGTAAGGCAATAAGAGAAAAGCTCCGAAATTTTAGTAAAATTGAAAATTTGCAGAAGCCTAACTATCTTTCCAAAAATCTTTATACTAATAGGTCTTGCTCCATCCCCCCCCCCCCACTTTCGAATGCAACCTTCCACTTTCTAGCAAGATTCCAATCCCTAGAAGGGCAAACAAACCCCCTATCTTGCCCGCTGGCTTACCACTAGATAGCTGTCATCCTAAATTCAATTGCAAGAAGTTTGAAAATCGCTTGCGGAAGTTACAAATCCATCCTACGACTTCGCAGCTACAGCATGAAAAAATTCAAATTCAATGGAAATGACCAGCGCTAAAGATTTTGGAAAAAGGCCAAGTGGAGATTATGTTGTAGTCAGATTACAAAACGTTCGCGATAGAACGTTCATACAATACCTAAAAAGGACGAGAGCTGATAAGTCGACTCATAAGAGCTGCAGGTAAGCAAAAAGACGCTCTTAAAAGGATCCCGTGGTTTGGGGTGAAATAGTCGCTCCAGGGGAACCTTCTAGGTATTTTGTTTGAGAATACGTAAAATTCATTGACGCATCATGAAATCTCAAAGCGAAGCGCAGCCGAGGAAGCCATAAGCCCCCGATCAGAGCTAGCCCACAGCCTATACCTCCACTTGTCTTTTCTGTATGAAGATTACGAAGGTAAACTGAAACAGTAAGAAAACCAATTTTTGGGTTTTTTTAAGCAAAAGTTCAAAGACGCGCAAAACAATTTGGCCGTGAACAACCTGCGGCGCACCTTCCACGTTGCCAGATAATTTTTTAAAAGTCGTCTAGACATTCGAAAAACCTCTCGACCATTTCGTACAAAAATTGTGATTCGCAATATTCATTTTATCGTTCAAAGTTGTGATTCATTGTTTTTGATTTGTTTGTGTGTTTATCAAAGAAATGAGTCACAGAAGGTTGTAGGAAGTTAAATTAGTTGCGAGTTGATTTCGCACGTATGCGTACTTTTCAGCCACCTTGTGAGTGATGCAGAACAGCAGGCTCTCCATTCTCAGAAAAATATCACGTGTGCTGTGAAAATCAAAAACCATGTAACATTTGGAAATGAACAAAAATCTCGCAGCATGTGATATGGTAAAATTAGAGAATTATGACCTAAATACCAAATAAAAATCAGTCAGGGAGGTTTTATTAGCTGAGGTGACATGCGACGGCCGTGAAGTGCCCAGTACAAGTTCCCCAATTGTGACAGATTGCACTGAAACCAGTACAAATCTCACTTAAATCACTTAGTTATCAATGAATTATGCTCGATAGTCTCATAGGGAGGATACAAATGAGCTGAAAGCCAATCCACAGCTAGTCAGATAATTTTAGATTAACTTATCTAGATTGTACTTCTCTACCAATTAAATGCGCCAACCATATTCCACTAAATGAAACCTGCTTCCCGTACTACACTGCTCAGCTATGGTCTAGGAAAATAGGACCAACGTACACAAAGTTATTAGATCTTATCGTACTTAAGATAATAATTTGACCTCCTCTTCCTTTTTCTTGAGAACTAAAATAAACCCTAACAAAAGAGTACTGCCTAATTTGATCACACAAAAAAGTGCTTCATTCAATCGATTTCCAAAAGTAAGCCAGCCAGATTGATTTTTGAAAATAAGTCAGCCATCACAAGGAAGAAAAGGAGCGTTTGCCACGGCAAGTTTTCTGTTGGTCTTAGATGACGAACATTTAAGAAATGAAATTTAAGGTTCACGTATCAAAAAAAGCCGTCTGAGACAGAAATACAAGATAAGCATTTTAGTACGTTTACCTTAACCCGTTAGCAACTTAAAGTTTCTTCAATTGGATGTCCCAAAATGCTCTGCGAAATTTTTTCACCAGCCATCTTACAATTTACGTTCCTTTATAGGGCCAAGCTTTTGTTCAGAGTCACCTCCTTAGATCTCAACTGAGAAATACGATTTGGCGGCGATTTTGAAAAGAAAATCTCGGAAATATGAACTTTACCAAGGACATGGTTACATTTTATTACGAACAATGGAGTAATATTTAATAGGTGGTGATGGTTTTGATCAGTAAAAGCAACGATAAGTCTTATAATCAATGATTATGTGTCTATATGCAAAGCGATGTTAAGCGGTTAATGCATATAAAGCGGATACCAATCTATCCCTACAAATTACTCGGCCAGGTGTTTCGACTGGTTATGCTCTGACTGGTCAATCTGGGCGCTGATCTTTTTACCCTTTCAGCTTACAAAACTTCTTACGACTCCCAAGCGAATCCGAATCGAGTAGGAGGATTTCCTCCTTGTTCAGCTCTTGGTAGCGTATTCACTACAGATCACTTAAGTGTACTATACCGAGGGTGCGCTTAAGGCGTAATTGACCTGGTCTAAAAGGGAGGCACCTTCTCGGCAAACAATACTGAAAGGAATATGAGTGAGCCCCTTTGTGAGGGCTTGTTAATCATCTTCCAATTGTATGCGTGACGACTGTGATTTCACAAGTAATTAGCAAATAAGTGCAACTTCTGGAGAAGTTGAGAGATAGTAGTAGTAAGTCCCAAGTCGTCGAAATAGCCCGGACAAAAGGTAAGACAAACCAGAGGAGAGAGTTTTGGAGCGTGGGAAAGCACGAATGTGATGAAGATGTTGAAAGAGAGCAGAGCCCGTATGGATAATTATTGAAAAGCTGGATCAGTGTCAGAGAAGCGGTTTAAGGAGATGGCTATGATTAAATGGAAGAGTGTGATTGAGTGGTTCGACATGGAGACCACAAACTTGGTGTACGGAGGAGGGACGGGAGACATACACCGACGAGAGAGCGGTTACCAAGGCTCAGAGAGCTGATGCTACAATTAACATCAGGCCTCTATTGAATCACACAGTGTGAGCGCCGCTGGCTGGCTGGCTTGACTACGCCACTTACCCAACTATCTATTGACGAGCGTTTCAGAGACATAGCCAGCCCCATACACACACACTCTCGCACAGATAGACGCGACTGGACAGTGTGCGTGTGAGTGTGAGCTGCACATCATTACCAGTACAAGTCAGGCTCAAGTCACTGGTGCGGGCCGTGGATTGGCTGGACCGTACTCCAAACCGCGCCAGAAATCGTTCATTTCGTCGCTTTGTAAAGATGAGGATGAGTGGAAGAGCTGCTCCAGAGAATTACCATAACCGTAATGGAATGGTCTCACATGGATGTGTGTCAGGGACTTTTCACAGGACACCATGATGTAAAGGTCGAAGATGTGAAGTTAAAAGGTTTGAATCCACGTCAGGGAACAACTCGTAGAATGCTAATGAGAAGAGCAAAATGCGTTGTGGTGAAATCCCACCGACAAAGTCGGTGCAGGGCTGGCGCCTAGGATGCTGCTGCTTCTGCCGCCGGGCCGCTGACGCCGTCGGCGGCGGCCGCTGCCGCTAAGCGGATTCCTCTTGAAACCCAATTTCGGCGCGGGATCACAACTCTTTGACTTGTCAACGCCCTCCGGCCGAGCGACCACTAACACGAGTAATCTAATCACATGCTAACCCCACACGAAGGAGCTATCACACCCGCCCCGACAGGAGGAGTCAACACTCAAGAGCCATTCGCCCCCCGGGCGTCTCCTCGTCGCTCCTTCCTTTTGATTCGGCTCTCAACGACCCCCTCATTTTGCACTGCCCGCCATCACGATGCCCCGTCGGCAACCAAAACAAAAGTCACTGGAATATGAAAGCACATATTCTAGTGCTACATTGGCTTCCCACAAATGCGAAATGACATCTTTCAAAGAAGAGGAAGGCGACTGTGTTTCTGGCCAAGTTCACCTTGGACGGGAGCCCTACTGTGTTTTGGTTCCTTGAAGTGCTGTAGTAGAATGGCTAGCTATGTATGAACAGCGCACATCGTACGCTGTAAAAAAAAAGTAGGGCAGAAAACATCTCAGCACTTCTTGCACTGGAAAAGAGCTCAGAAAAATCGAGAAAAGAAGATTCTGGAGAAAAATGCCACGAAATGTACTTCCAGGATAATCTGAAGAGATTATATTTCGGTGAAAAAATGAAATGGCGACAAGCAAAGCTGATGTTCCGCATGTGCACAAGGGGGAGAGGTGCAATGCGCTTGACTTCAGTCGTCGGCAGAGGGAGGATATCGAGATAAGCAAGTGGGGGGCGACTCCTATTAGACGATAATGGGGGCTATCGCTGGCATTTCGCCCATTACCGTCGGAATCGCCGCTTCGCTGCGCTCTCAAATTAGTCGACGACATGGTGTCTTCTCAACACGGCGGCGCCACCCCCCATCCTTCCCCTCCGGGCACCCACCGCCACATCATCTTCTCTTCTTTTGCTGCTCACTATTGCCCCTCCGTCGCCCTCATCCCTCACAGCCCACTTCCACTTTGCCCACTAACGAAACCACTTGTGCACAGATCAGCGCATAGACATGCGTGCGAGTGCGTGTATGTGTACGAGATTCTTCACACATATACTCGGCCTCGTCTACTTGCTCTCCTGGCGCGGTATAGACACCAGCAGTAGCGCCGGTGGCAGCGGCCACCAACCAATGCGCGTCCGAGTCCAATTACGTCCCCAGGTATACGGTGGGACGCAGCGGCGCCCAGCACACCGAAAACTTCTGCGCATGGTGTCTACCGTAGTAGCTCCATGAAACTCGGCCAAAGTTTGCATCTCACCAATCGGACACGACGTTCAATTCAAGTAAGTGAAGCGGAGAGAATTAGTCAGATTAAACAGGTGGGAGGAGGGGTTATGCCAAATGAGTGCGATATATGAGCATATGGGGGTTGATTAGACGCGTAGAATAGGATGCCAACTAGACGTGGTGCAGTGGCGAGACTCATTTAGCTTCAAGCCACCACCACACATGGCCGCAAGTGACAAGTTACTGTGAAATTGGAGTGGAAGGCGCAAATGAAAAGCGCGCCACTGCCAATTAGCCGTCGTCCTACGGTCGACTGAACGAGAAGCAGAGACAGCATCGCCGTCGTCGCCTCGACTCTGCTGTTAGTAGCCGGTGAAAGACACCGAGGAGCCATCAGATTACCAAAATGCTCGAAATTTTAAAAAATCCGAAAAAAATCGGATTGCTCCAATATTGCCATCCTTCTCAGAATTTGAGAGCTTTGGGACTAGAAAAACTTGGAAAAGTTGATTTTGACCTGTTTTTTACTGTTAACTACTGATTTCAGCCGCAGTTTGCCTTGCGAAAGTTGCACTAGAATCTGGGTTATGAACAAAACTTTTGCCCCAGACGGGGCTCAAACTTGTACCTTCCGCTTAGCGGGCAAGTGGTCCAGAATTCCCTAATAGCGCCATCACCAGGTCGAATGATCTGCTCGGTCAGCTCTTGATGACTGACAATTTCAACTGACATGCTTACTTTCCTATTGGCCTCGGCTATGAGTAAGGGTCCAAGAAGCAGAAAAATGATAAACCTTGGACTCTCGCGATGCTTTTGACATCTCCTAGGACTTTCTGGACCAAAAAATTATTCCGATTCTGGGAAATATTACAACTAGGAACTGGTAAATAAAGCGATGAAACAATGCGGAATGTGTACTGGAACCTAGAAATACATCGAGTTGGTACTTGTCAACAGCGAATCGAAAAAAGCAATTGAAGTCGCTTGACATGCAAGAGACATGAGATGCGCCAAAAAACATAGCACAAGGATTAAAACAATATAAAAACATTCACTTAATGGATGTACTGTCACCAATTTGAACTGGTGTTTTGTCAGTGATGAAGTGTGTTGAGTATTGAATGGGTTAAGTTGACGAGCGATTGAGAGGTGATTGGTGATGAAAGGTCGAGTGGTGGAAATGAGAGGTGATGTGTGAGGATACACTGAGTGAGAGAAACAGAGAGGAAAGTGACTGGGGCTGTGTCTCCCGGTTGCCCCCAGGGCAAAGCGCGACATCTGATACGTTCATACGTCCATGCCCATCTCGCCACGGACGTCTGTGTACACCGAACTGGACTCCACCACTCGTCACTCTACTTCAAGAGTCAACGACGACGACGACCGATACGGAATGATACCCTGCGATCAATTATCGATCGATTACAACCACGATAGAGCCGTAGGTATCCGCGAGTTTCACATAGAGCATTGTATGAAATTGATACGAAAAAACTAGCGCACCATAGAGTTGGAAAAGGGACTTTTGACAACGACATTTGTACTTACAGCAAGCACTTCCCGGTTTAGCTTCCACTAACTTTGGGAGAATGCTATTGATTTCATTTCTATTTACCTTAATCAAATTGATTTAGCTCGAACTCCTAAGACCCCCTTAGACTTTCGAGCACTAGCGGCGCCAAATTATCACTCGATTCGAACCAATCAAGGGAGAAAGTGATGTCAGGAAAGAGAAGAAGGTGCCCCTTAAGGAACCAAGGCCGCCCGTACTCAATGTCCTGATGGAATTCTGACATCTGACTATTTAGAAATAATTAGAATTGAAAAAATGCACCATTCATATGAGGGTCGCGAAGCATAATTAAAACGGGGTAAAGGGGGGAGGGGAGGGGGCAGGGTCGTGAAATAACTCACATGACTCATTCTTAAATTGACTAAGCTTTGTTGCAAATCACCACTACCTTACAATCGCTTTTTTAGGGTCTAAGAAGATCTCATTTCAGAACAAATCCGTTAAGCTACTTAAAAAGCGGTAAAAATCAATCTCTAAAGAAAAAAAATCCTGCACTTCATACAAGCGGTTTCTGATGTTTTCTAGCTAACAACTTTGCATGCAATGAAAGCAAACAGATTAAGCTGCTTAGGCTTATAGCTCCTGATATATCACTCTGATCCACGTAAACTTACGGGGTGGGGGAGGTCCCGCAGCCCTTAGAGAAAATACTGAGCTAATTCGCCGAGGCAACACACAAGGAGTATGTTTAGTGCCACGAGACATCTCCACAGCAAATGGCTTGTCAGTGCACTCTCTGGTTTCAGCCCAACAGGATAGACAACCAGCATCCTTTCTCAGGCATATTGAAACGTTGCAGAGTTCCTGTTAATGATGCAAACGTCAAGGTTATATGTAGTTGGTTATACTAAGCATTAGCAGATTTATGTGGCAGGTTAAGCTCATTCACACTCTTACAAATGAATGAATTACACGAAGTGAAATTTGGTTAGCATGGCGTATCCCAGGAGAACAAAAAATGCAATATTTGAAAGGTCCACTTATAAACCCTATTGAGCAGTGGAAGTTTTTTATACAGAACATTGAAATTTAGGTAGCAACTATACCAGACCAATTACTCAAAGCTGATCCGAAAATCAAAGGCGCCGATCTCAACTCCGCTGATACCGGACTTACAAGATAGGGTTGATCAATGATATAACCCCTGCTGCATAATTCAAAGGTAGGCGAAGAAAAACTTGATATTGTGGACAACTATGACCCAGAGTAACTAGTTGGTATCATTGAGGTTGGTTATTATCAACGGTAATGACTTACCGCGGTGAGGCACATGAGGTTAGACGACTCAGGAATGGCGCTCTGGGATATTTCGCAGTATAAAGATTAGGTATACGTGCCAAGATAAATGTTATAAAGGCCAGGAGAAACTCCAAAAACGTCACGTATGCATATTAGACTATGAAATATCCTCTTACTCACTAAGGCACTACTCAAGTGAAACACTGTTTACACATTGCGGACCGTGGTTGTATGAGTACCTTCGAAACTTTTTTATATTTTTCAAAAAGTTAACATCTTAATCTATCAACAATTTTACAGTGATACGTATGGTTTCCCGGTACAGAAAATGAGTGCAAACAGTTCAGGAGCATTGAAAAATGTCAAGTAAATCAGATAAAACTGTGCTGTTTCGCGCGAAATCGTGCGCCACATGGTGGCGCACGCGGTACGCAATGTGTCAACGGATTCCGCAATACGCCACAGATGCGACAGTCCAGCTTGCTCTTACTTTGAAACATGCCAAAAATGGGAGAATTAGAAGGATGGAACAAGACTAAGCAGTGTGAGTGGCAGGCTGGATGATGACAGGAACTGAAAGTCAAGGATAACTTGGCCCAAGCCAAAGGATCGAAGTAGAAAATCCGAAGGCTTACTGTGCCAGATTTGAGTGAGAA